GCATAGTGCCACTGTTGTAAAACAGGACCAACACGGGAGCTGGGCGAAACTAACACCAATTAAATTCTTGTGTGCTTCTGAAGACTTCTGCAAAAAAAAAAAAAAAAATAAAACTGACACAGTGGAAAAAATATTCGGCAACGACACAACTGACAAGAGACTCATTGATCAAATGTATAGAAAACTCCAACACACCAACAAGAAAAGGGCAATGAAGTTACAGAATGGGAAAAGGACAGAGATAGACACCTCACTAAAGTAATACTTTAAATAGCCCACAAACACATAAAGAAATACTCAAAATCATTATCTATTAGAGATGCAAGTCACTACAATGGAATATCATCTCACCCCAGCAACAGTAGCAAAGGTCAAGCACACAGCAAGCAACAAACGTTGATAAAGGGCTAGAAAGATTGGAACTCTCCTCATCCACTGCTGGTGAGATTGTAAAATGGTGCAATCACAAGGGAAAGAAGTTTAGCATTTTCTTCGAAAGTTCTTGTGTGGTGTTTTCAAGTTGGCTACAACTCAAAGTGAACTTATGAACAACAGATCTGAATTTCATCCTCATAAACTGTGTCATGTTCAAGCTCATTGGGATTGACAGTCATTATATCAATCCCTCTCCTAGAAGACTTTCCTCCATTTTCCTGACCCTTAACCTTTCCCAGTGTGACCTACCTTTCCTATTTGGTCTAGCAATTCCATTTCTGTGAATATATTCCAAAGAATAAGACCTGCAACACAAACTAGCACACACACACACACACATACACACACACAACCTGTTTATTATAGTATAATTTACAACAGCGGAGGCTTAAATTTCTTTCACTATTAGAGACCCTTCACTCAACTCCTCCATTGCAACAATTTCTGAGAAGTTTATAAAAGCATCAAATATAAATTCAGCGTGCTTGGGTTCAAATTTTGTCTCTACTACAGAATAGTTTATTAAATTTGAACAAAAATCAGAGCTTCTTTAAGGCTCAATCTTCACATGTATAAAGTGAAGATAATAGTGGCAGCTATCTCACAGGGATATGACTTATAATATTTATAAAGTTCCTGGGATGGGCTTGTTAGTAGTATAGCAAAAACAAAAGATTATTTCATATACAAGCATACTAAGTTGTATATACCTAATAGGTACCTGACTGAGGCACACTGCTTGCTATGGGCTTCTAACTGGAAGGGCAGTGGTTCAAATGTCCTTAACAATGCCACAGACAAATGGCTTGGTGATCTGCTTCCTTAAGATTATATTTTCTCTAGTCTACATGTGTACTTACAGCATCTCAGGGCCTTGGAATTATCATTGTATTCAAAATCAGACCAAGGGGAGATCATAATTTCATTTTAAAAAACATGGGTTCCCTATGACTTTGAAACACCTGTTGTTGCTGTTGTAAAGTGTCATCAAGTCATAGATGACTCATAGCGACCCTATGAACAAAACTCCTCAACACTTGCGTGTGTGACTTTCATCCTTTCCCCAAGTCATAGATTTCCAGAGTCAAGCTATTTTGGAAGTGGATGCCACTCCTGCTTTCAAGCTTGTTTCAACTGGGCAGTGCCACCAAACACTGTCCACCATGGGTAACAGTTATTGCATTGGACACATCAGCGTCACAGTGTTCAGCTTCACAGCAACCACAGGTTATCTCTGTACAGCAAGTGGACACGCTAGGGTTATACAACCTAGAAAAATGTTTGAGCAAAAAAAAAAGAAAAACAGGCCTTAGGACCGTTTCTTAATTACCCACCTTTGGCTTGGAAGCATCGCTTTCAGTCCACTAGGCCAACTGGTCTCTCTCTGTTGAAACATCTAGTCACCATTTTACTCTGAGAAACAGTCATAATGTGTTGACTCAATAGGTATTTTTTTAACATGTACCTAGTAAGTACAATTTCTCTGCCTTTCTACTTTTTATCTTTGCTTCTGTTTGATCACTGGAAAAACCCTCAATGTCCTCAAGTGTATTCCAACTCATAGCTCAGCCTCCAGCAGGTTTTGAAGGTTGTAACTAGCAAGGTAGGAAACTGTCCATCTTCTTCCTGCAACACAGTTTGTGGTTTTGAACCACCAGAGAAATACAACCTGTGCATTGCATCCCCCGTCAGGTCTGTAACACTCAGATCACAGCAAGACTTATAGTATAGGCAAAGCATCATAGACTTCCACTCATACCTTGAAACTCTTTTTTTTTCTTAAATAGGCCATCAATAAATGAACAGATAGAAAAAATAATGGTATATTCTTACAATGGAATACTACACTGCTAACTCTTAACACACTACCAACAACAAACCTTGTCCCAATTTAAGTGAGAAAAACTTAGATCAATATTTTCTCAAAGTGATCCACAGATCATTTGCACCATATTTTTAAGAGATAAAGTCAGAGGATATGCAAGTCATGCTGCACTTGTTATTTTAACTTGTTGTGGTTGTTATGTGCCTTCCAGTTGCTTGCGATTCATACCGATCCTATGTACAACAGCCCTAAACTCTGCTCTGTCCTGTGCCAATCGCACCGTCTCTGACCCATCCCTATTCCCCCAGTCACTGAATCAATCCACCTCATACAGGGCCTTCCCCTCCACCCTCCCAAGCATGATGTCCCTCTCCAAGGACCAGACTCTCCTTACAAGATGTCCAAAGTATGTTAGACGGAACCGCAGAATCCTTGCCTCCAAGGAGCCACCCGGTTTAACCCTTTCCAGGACAAATCTGTTTGTTTTCCTAGCAGTCCATGGTATTCTCAATACTCTTCTCCAGCATCACAGCTCAAAGGCATCAATTCTCCTTCTACCCTCTCTAGTCATTGTCCAACTCTCTGATGCATAACAAGAAATTGCAAAGACCGTGGCCTATCTCAGACGTACCTTAGTCTCCAGAGAGACACCATTGCTCTTCAGTACCCTGGAGAGGTCTCTAACAGCAGACTTTCATATGGCAATATGTCTTTTAATTTCCTGGCTACTGCTGCCAAGAATGTTCACTATTGTAACTTACACCTGTATGCAGAACAGATTATCTGAGAGCCTGGGCTCTATGAGGAGAAGTGTGGTGTCAGGATTGGTGGAAGATCTATTAACAATCTGTGATATGCAGATGACACAACCGTGCTTGCTGAAACTGAGGAGGACCTGAAATGCTTGCTGCAGAGAGTCAAGGACTGCAGCCTTCAGTACGGATTGAAGCTCAGTGTTAAGAAGACAAAGATTCTCACCACTGGACCAATTGGCAGCATCAGGATGGATGGTGAAGAGATTGATATTGTTAAGAACTTTAGTCTGCTTGACTCCACAGTGAACACTCTTGGCACCAGTAGCCAGGAAATAAAAAAATCTATTGCCATGGGAAAGTCTGCTGTTAGGGACTTCTCCAAAGTACTGAAGAGCAATGGTGTCACTCTGGAGACTAAGGTGCGTCTGATACAGGCTATGGTCTTTGCAATAATTTGTTATGCATCAGAGAGTTGGGCAATGACTAGGGAGGATAGAAGGAGAATTGATGCCTTTGAGCTGTGTTGCTGGAGAAGAGTATTGAGGGTAACATGGACTGCCAAGAAAACAAACAAATTCATCCTAGAGAGGGTTAGACCAGGCTGCTCCTTGGAGGCAAGGATTCTGAGCCTCCGTCTAACATACTTTGGACATGTTGTAAGGAGGGAGAGGTCCTTGGAGAGGGACATCATGCTTGGGAGGGTGGAGGGATGGCACAGAAGGGGAAGACCCTCTATGAGGTGGATTGATTCAGTGACTGGGGTAATCGGGATGGGTGTGTCAGAGGCAGTGAGATTGGCACAAAATAGAGCAGGGTTTAAGGCTGTTGTACATAGGATCGCTATGAGTGGCAAGTGACTCGAAGGCACATAACAACAACAACGTTTATGAAGGCAGCTCTGGTGGTCTAGTGGTAAGAAGAGGTACTGCAAGTAAGAAGGTTTACTGATCCAATCCACCGGTTACTCCAAGGGAGAGGATAGGCAATCTCCCAGGCAATTAATTAACTGCCTCTGAAAACCCGCTGGAAGGCCATCTATCGGTCAGTTCTGTTTCTGACTCTATAGAGCATGGCACAATGTTTGTGAATCATTTCTCTACATGTCTTTTCACATATGGCTGTCTCTTTCTAGAATGCTTATTCCTGCCACTGCTGCCTGGGAAAATGAAACGGCAGCTGCTTCTGCAAATGTCCTGCCTTCGAATTGATTCAGACTCCTTTCTTAATTCATACTTCCTTCCCAACCCTCAGCAAATATTTCTATTGATATAGGACGGAAAATATGAGAAATATCAGACCTGCAGTGGGGCGAGTGTTAGGGAATACTGGTACACGGACGGTCTGTACACGGAGCTGGTGCATTGGATCGGAGGTAACAAAAATGAGTGAGGGAAAGTGAAGAGTAGCAGCAAGCTAATACCCCTGGCTTTCTCCGACTGGACAGGAAGTAAATTGAACTCCTTTTCCTAAGCAGCATGCATAAAGCACAATTTTTGTCGAAAAGGAGGGATGTTTGAAGACTTGGTATCACCCAAGCACTCCGGGAAATGGATCACTGGGTAGCTAAACCTGTGTGGATTTAAAAGTTTTACATGGTTTATAGCACCGAAGGAGCGGAAAGGAATAAAAACCATTCAACCTCTGTGACTACAAAGTCCACACTCTGAATCCCTAACACTCTCGTAATTGTTATTGCTTCCTTCTGGAAAGTTCTTTCTCTTAGTCTCTGCCTATTAATAGTCTACTGAACCCTGAGGTTACATCTCCATGGCCACAAGGGGGCTCCTCCTTGTGCTAGGGTAATGTTTGGGTGCCTGGGCCCCCTGCTGGGACTGGATGTAAGGATAGAACCTTCTGTCCAGGGAACGAACGGGTAGGGTGATCTTGGGATGGGGTGGGAGCGGGGAGACTGAAGATGGTTCCCCTTTCTTGGTTGCCTTTGTTACACCACCTCAAAGATCTGATAAACCAATTCTGAGGAAGAACTCCCACTGTCACCTTACTGCGAGTTCCTCAAGACTCCAAGTGTTCTTGAGGCGGTGCCCCTACTAGGGTCCCCAATACCTTAACAGTCCTAAATTGGGACCAAGGTCCCCAATACTCCGTATCCCTAAAGTGGGACCAGGGCTCCAGATAATCTATAGTTTGAAAATGTGGCCAAGGCTCGCCGTTCAGAACCCACCCTTCCGTGGCTTACTGTACAAGCAGGCAGAATATCAGAGATCTAATTTGGAGAAAAAGAAAAAAAAAAGTGAAACTGTTTAAGAAGCAGGCAAGAAGGGATGAAGCAAAGGAGACTCACGAGAAGAGGAACCTTGCTGCTGCCCAACAGTCCTATTTCTTGCTAAATCCAATGTCTAATCGTAGCAAAGAATTTTTAGTATTACACCATGTAAGAGGGAGTTCTGGTGGCATATCTATGGAAAAGTCATGCTGCTTGAGCGGTTCCAATCCACCAGCAGCTCCATGGGAGAAAAATAAGCAATCTCCACTCATGTGATTTACAGACCCAGAAACTTAACAGAGGGTCAGATATGAGTCAATCGGGATTTGAAGTCAAATGACCAAGAGAAGTGTAAGTTACCTATCTCTCCCTGTGTCAGGGTTTCTCTTAACCTTTGTCTGATTAAAATCCATAGCCCCACTATCTACCGTAGAATCAATTTATCGAGTTTCTAAGGTTTTAAATCTTTAGTGAAGATGGTTCATCGTTCTCTGAAGAAAGCTTGGTAGGTTTGAACCGCTAACATTTTAGTGGCGACAAAATACATAACCCACTATGTCACTCGGACTATACCATGGATCTTAAATTTTATTTAAGTTGAAATTTTAAGACATTAGTTTGCTGTTGTCTTGAGGATGTCCCATTCGGGGGCATCATTGAAGGTGCCCTAGAAGGAGCTCATCAAGCAACTTGTAATGCTAAAATATGGTGGGAGTTTTTGGAGATCTCCCGCCCCAACTACCTTCTAGCACTTTCTTCGCTTCTCCACCAATCCTGATCTTTCCTTGCCCTCAAAAACCTCCCTGATTGGTGGGCACCCTCCTCAGACACAAGCCCCGCCCACCACCTCCGGCAACTCAAATCCCTCGCAACATTGGGTTGCCTTCGCTCTTTGACCTCCTCCACCAGCACAGTCTGCACTTCCCGCCCTCTCCCAGTCAGTGCTGCACCTTCACCAGCAAGTTCCTCTCCTGCTCCCTGCTGGCCCTGCGCCTCCTGCCTCTCCGGACTTGGACTTGGTAGACTTGAGAACCTGTTCTCACCTGGCATTTAGGCGTGCGCAACCCCAACTAACACCAAGCCGTCCCATCACCGCCAACATCACGGCCAACACTGGTGCTATGCGTCGCCGCCACCGCCACCGCCGCCGTCGCCGCCACCGCCACCGCCGCCGGCGCCCTGGCCACATCAACGCCACCACCACCGCCGCTGCCAGCGCCAATGCAGCCACCACGCACCAAGTGCCCACCGCGGTCACGCAGCAAACAGGTAGCAGGAAGCGGAAAGCCCCCGAGGCTGAAGCGGGCTCGGGGAGCGCGGCGTCGGTGTCTCAGGATCTGGTGGCAGGGGCACCTGTAGAGGCAGAGGTAGTGGCAGAGGTAGAGGCAGGGGCAGAGGCGGAGGCGGAGGCGGAGGCGGAGGCAGAAGCAGGGGCAGGGGCAGGGGCAGGGACACAGATAGCCAAGAAACAGAGGCGGCAGGGGGCGCGCCGCTCGCTGGTGCACTACCTGAAAGACCGCGAGCTGGGCGCGCGTGGCGGCTACGGTGGGCCCCAGCGCTTCGAGGACGAGCTGCGCATCAATGCGGTGCACCAGCTGCCGGCACTGCTGCAGGAGCACGAGCTGAATCTGGGCACTCTCAACAAGGTCTTTGCGTCGCAGTGGCTGAACACCAGGCAGGTGGTGTGTGGCACCAAGTGCAACACGCTCTTCCTGTTAGATGTGTACACGAGCCAGATCACACGCATCCCTCTCCTGCCGGACAGGGTGTCACCGCTGTTCCAGGACCAAGTGAACTGCGGCATCCACGCCATCGAACTGAACCCCTCCAAGACACTGCTGGCCACAGGGGGCGAGAACCCCAACAGCCTGGCCATCTACCACCTACCCACGCTTGACCCTGTGTACCTAGGTGACCGCCATGGCCACAGGGACTGGATCTTCGCCATCGCTTGGATGAGCGACACTGTGGTCGTGAGTGGTTCCCGCGATGGTAGCGTGGCACTGTGGCAAGTGGACCCAGACATGTACCACAGCAGCACTGCCTGCCACAACGATGAGGGGCTGCCCACGTACACCCACACCCGCCCACAAGATGTGGAGATCATCCCCAAGGCCGACACCAGCCCATTTAACCACAAGGTGCGGGCCCTGGCTTTCAATAGCAAGAACAAGGAGCTGGGATCAGTGTCCCTCGATGGCTACTTCCACCTGTGGAAGGCACCAAACATCCTGTGCAGGCTGCTGTCCCTTAGGCTGCCCTTCTACCGAGACAATGTGTGCCTGACCTACTGCGACCAACTGAACCTGTACGCAGTGGGCTCCCAGTCCCATGTCACCTTCCAGGATCCTCGTGATTACCAGTCAAACCTGAGGCCCCTGTGCTCCAGAGAGGGTGGCACCGGAGTGCGCTCCCTCAGTTTTTATGAGCACATCATCACCATAGGCACCGGCCATGGGTCCCTGCTTTTCTATGATGTCCGTGCCCAGAAGTTCCTGGAAGAGAGGGCCGCTGCCAGCCTGGACTCCTCTCCAGCACCTACAGGGAAGAAGCTCAAGCTCACCTCTGGGAGAGGCTGGCTCAACCACAATGATCTCTGGGTGAATTATTTTGGAGGCGCTGAAGAGTACCCCAATGCGCTCTACACCCACTGCTACAACTGGCCTGAGATGAAGCTCTTCGTAGCTGGGGGGCCTCTCACTTCAGGCCTCCATGGGAACTACGCAGGCCTCTGGAGCTAAGGAGAGTGACCTGATGTGATCAAAGTATGCAGGTTTATCTTCTAGTCAATGTTCTTTATGCTACCTTTGTAACTTTTTAAAGAAAAAAAAGCAATAACCTTGTTTTCTTTTCTTCCCCCCTTCTAGGTGGAAGACTACCTGTTTGCCTGTATTTTTGATAAAAGAGAGAGAAAAGAAGATCCTTCTGGCAAGCAAAATTTGGCTTTAACATTTTTCTACACCTTGACCCAAAACACCAACATTTGCCTTCTCCTGCAAAGGATTTTGACTAATTCTTAATTGCTGCTTTTTTGAGTGAGTCAACTCATCCTTCTCCTTAAGCTGGTGAAGATGAAGACATGGCCCCAAAATAAGCACATATTCTTTTTCTACTTGTTTGGTTACCTGTATTACAGCACTTGTTTTATTTACTTTTGATGCAGATATACTGTATTTTAAGAGCAGTGTTTACTAAGCTTAGTTTATGAATTTGTTTGAGAGATTTAATCATAGCATGGTTCCAATTGAGAAACACTTCTCAAATTCAAGTTAACCAAATTTGGGAAACCTTTTATTTGTAAGTTGAGGTATTAAATGTTTATAGTTTATAGAGTCTTGGTGATAAAAGTTATTTTGGGAAAAAGTATTTTCTTCTGAAAAAAAGTTGTCTTAGATTCCCCCCCCCCTCAGTATCTAAATACAATTTAGTAATGAAAGAGTTCAGGTTACTTAGAGTTAATTTTAAGATTGACTCTTTCCTTTCAGCCTTTAAATTTTTATGACCTATTGTTAAATAGATAAACAGCTATTAATTTTTTCCACTTCTTGCCTTAGTACTGTCTAGCCTTGTGAATGTTTGCCTGTTTCTTGTTTTTGAGGTTTTACAGAGCTTTAGTATTATTCAAAGCAGGGGTTCCAGGTCTCAAGGTAGACCTTGCAGTAGGTTGGTCAGAGGGTATACTGATCAAAGAAACAACCTGAGTATTTTAGTTTCTGCGTTTGGACAATCAAGTGTTATATTTAAGCCTACTTTAAATTTTCAAATTCTGCTTACAAAGTCACAAGGGGAAACAATTACAAAGAAGAAAAATTTGTTCAGTCTGTATACTTTCTGCAAAGACTTATCTCCTGAAATTCTAATTCATAAGAATCTTTTTTAAAAATTTCAGTAATTCTTCATTAAAGTTAGAATACATGTGTAGTTAAAAATAATAGTGTCGTAACCCGCAGTATAATGGGTTTTCAGCACAGAAAGTGAATTTCAAGAATATGAGCTAAGATTAAGTGGGATTTGGATAAATAAAAATACTTTGGAAACTCAGGTAAATATAAATTGTGAGTTGTAGTTCAGATGGCACTGTCTCTTTATGCAAGAACATTGGAAGTAGGATGGGAGATTGGCTTTTCCCCCAAATTGGCCAAGTTGTGCTGACCTTGGAAAGTGTTGTATCGCCTTTGTATTTTCTTAACTGTTTGGCATTTGTACACTGCTTTAGTGTCGGTGCCCTACTTCATGTTTAATTACAAGTTGAACCAAGATTTATCACGAAAGTAAACCGAGACAGAAAAACTTTTTTTATAGTCGTTTTAACAAGTTTATAAAGAAGTTCAAAAGAAGTTTATATAGAAGTTAGGTATTTGTATGCATGTATGTGTGTGTCTCCAGCTCAGTTGCAAATGTCTTAAGAATAGAGAATATAACTGCCATCTCTGCATTCTCTTTTCTCTATGAATTGAATGAATGCCTAGCAAAAACTCATAGGCAGAAAGCAAATATTTACTAAATGAATGTATTTGACCTCTGGAGATCTATACTTCAAAACATACATCCATACAGGCATAAATAAAATTTGCTTTAAGCAATATTGTGATCCTGATGTCTTTTTTTCCCCCTTCCTTTTTTTCTTAAGATAAAATTTGTCTTAATTCATTTTCAGAGTAGGCCATATGCTCCTCCATTCACACACGTAACCAAGTTTGATTCCAGAAAAGGTTGGAAAATGTATAAATGCTTTTCCCCTCAAAAAAAAAAAAATTAAGATGCCATTGGAACTTAAAAGAATGTAAAATATGTTTTCAGAAATTAAATTGGAATGAGCTTGTTTTAAAACTTTTGGGGTGATTTTTAAACTTTAAAGTACATTTGCCAACAGTTTCTTAAGCAGCACCCAAGAACCTCACTAAAATATTTCTTGTTTATCTGTTTGTTGTATTTTGTAATTGTTTGACGCTGTGGGGAGACTATTTTCAGAGTAAGTTGCAATTTCTGTGCTATTGTTCTATTGATGTTGCTTTAATTTTTAAAATAGAGCCAAAGCTTATTTGTGACTACTAAAAGTAGTCTGATGCATAGCAAGTAATTGTAAAGACTATGGCCTGGATCAGGTGCATCTTAGTCTCCAGACTGACATCATTGCTCTTTAGTAGTTTGGAGAGGTCTCTGACAGCAAACTTTCCCAGTGCAATTCATCTTTTAATTTCCTGGTTCCTAGTACCAAGAGTGTAGATTGTGGAGACAAGCAAACTGAAGTTGTTAACAATCTCAAACTCTTCACCATGTATCCTGATGCTGACAATTAGCCCAGTGGTGAGAATCTTTGTTTTCTTTATGTTGAGCTTCAAGCCATATTGCAGGCTGCAGTCCTTGACCTGGTGCAGCAAGTGCTTCAGGTCCTTCTAAGTTTCAGCAAGCAGAGTTGTGTCAGCTGCATTACACAGGTTGTCAATGAGTCTTCTTCCCATCTTGATGCCACACTCCTCCTCATAAATCCCTGCCTCCCCAATGATCTGTTCTGCATACAGATTGGAAAGGAAAGAAAAATAAAATCATAAAGAAAAAGAGAGAAAGCTGAGAAGTTAATTAAAGTCAATGGTAAGAAAGGCCCAAAGCATGCTGAGATTTGATTTCAGTGCACCTGATTCAACATGTGAAGTTTCATTTATTTCAATAGCTTTGAGTCCAGACTTTTAAGAGTATTCACTGTAATAAGCTTGGGGAAAAGGTCAATTATTATCAAGATAAAATTTGGAGCCTTAAAAGTGAATTGAACTATATATTAAAAAAAAAAGGCAGGGGGACTGGACATATCCCTGATGCACTCCCTTCCTGAATTCGATCCATGCAGTGTCTCTATCTATCTATCTATCTATCTATCTATCTATCTATCTATCTATCATCTATCTATTATCTATCTATCTATCACCTAATTTTACAATTAAAAAAGGTGAAACCAACAGAAAACATAAGTCACTGGATAGCAGATATGCAACCATTAAACGATGTCAGAAATGGTGGTGATATACTACCCAGTGGGAGCCGTAGAGGGTTGCACCAGTGCAGAGGAAGCTATTATGCCACCCTTTAGAAAGCATGTGTGCAGCAGCCATCAAATCTGTGCAGCAGCCATTAAATCTTAATCATGCACACCTGTTCACATCCTTAAGTAGCAATTCCACTCTTGGTCCTAGGACAAGAAATAAGAGTGACAAAAATAACAAAGCCAGAGACATTTTAGCCACTAAACTTGTAATGGCCACACAGTGAACATGAGCTCATGCCCAGCACAAATAGTAGTATGGCCATGATGTACAAAGATCCACCAACCCCAACTTCCGACATCAGGCGCCAAACCTGCTGGGAAAGTGCCCTGGTCTTAACACCTCCTGAATTCTGTAGAACTCTGCAGGCTTAGAAACCCACTGGGCTCCTGAAGTCATTAGTTTTTGCCCACAAAGCCCTTCTTGGTATTTAGAAGTCACAAGGATGAGGAAGGATTTCCTTTAGAGGCGACTTGATTTGATGATAATGAGAAGAGCCCTTAAAGCCCTATGAAGTTCCCCAAATGATACTTTGTACAGAAGATCCTTGTGGGTGCCTACTGAGAAGTCCTGAATGCAGACTGGGGGGAGGTGAAGGAGGGCGCAGGGAGGATCATCCTCCTCTGGGAAACACTATCCTCAAGGTCACCATGGGAGACTGAGTTCTCCTACTGGGAAGATCTCCAAGAACCTGAACAGAGGGGTAGTGAAGAAACCACCTCTTTCAAGTCGGACCTACAGAAGCAGATACTGAGAGTTCATTTCTGAAGCACCTCAAGCTAGTTGACTTCCCTGTCCCAGAACCACACTTGCATTTGGTGCTCCAGGAGGCTGGGCCTGACCTTTAGCCTGCTGCTAGTTGGATGCTGGTCGTCATACAGAGACTCCAACTTTCACTGTTGTTTTTCGTTGTAAATGGTTTGATCCAATAGCTGCTTCCACTTGGGATCTTGGTATGGATAGAAAGGGCCTATGAGAAACTTGGCCAGCCATTACTCTTTAGAAAAGACCTGTTCAGCAAAAATGAGAACTCTGGAAATCCTATGGGACTGCTAATGGGTCAGAATTCAGTTATCTGTGCCTTGGAGATTTCTTTTTTAAAGAAATTTTCTCTTCTAATTGTGATTTTAATGAAAGTTTACAGAAAAGTTAGACTTTCATTCATTCATTGTTGCACATTTTACCCCTTCTCCCTCCCTACTTTCCCCCTCCTTCAGTTGACTTTTTAAAAAATATTCATTTATTATCATACAATTACCCCTCTCATAACCCCCCCCCGCCTCTCTGCAGTGTACATCTTATTGAGAGCTGTTGTCATACACATAATGCCTAATCATATATTCTTTTTAAACAATTCTTTCCTTCTTCTACTCCAATGTAATGTTTATTATCTATCCACTCTTATTCTCCCAACTCCCACTGTCAGACATGATTTATAACAGTGATGCTATGCAGTACTTGTCCTTTTGTGAATGAGATCTTTCACTCAGCATAATGTCCTCTAGGGTCACCCATATTGTGTAATGTTTTATGAGTGTATTTTCTCAGTACTGTGTAATATTTCATTGTATGAATATAACATAGTTTTTCTATCCTTTCAGTTGTTGATGTACATATGGATTGCTTCCATCTCTTTGCTATTGTGAACAATGCAGCAATAAACATGGGTGTTCATATGTTTGTTTGGGTGGTGATTATGGTTT